TTTTAATATCAGTATAAATTTGTCACTAGTAATTTGTCATCAACGATATTTATTGTGAGTTGATTTTGAAAGTGAGGCAAGTCCACTTTACTGTATATTCCCTAGGATTATTACAAATTAATACAAAAATGTTGCAAACATAATGCATTTTTAGTACATGAAATGAAAAGTGAAGACTTCTATTTAACCAAACCTCTGGAGGAGACAATTTTGAAAAGAACAAAAAATACTGATGGAGAAACTGTCAATTGAGTGAATATTATCTGGGTAAAATTTTCAAGAAATGCACCATATAAACTGTTTTATAAAACATCGGTGGAAAAAGACACAATTTAAAACTCTTGATTTATCACCAAAATGGGGTAGGCCAAGTAGTTTCATAAATATAGTATTATCATCTTTAAATGCAAAAACTAGGCCCATTACTAAAGAAAAATATAAAGATATGATGGATTTATGCACCATCCATTCATCATGAATATTGAATACTTTAAAAATCTGCACCGTCTAAACTAAGGAATATAATTATATGCATACAACTTATTACTGAATATTTTTTTCTTATGTTATCCCTTTTTTCCTATAAAATTAAATTTATTTTTTGTTTTATTGTAGTTTTTCGAAAGAAGTATGAAATGTTGAAATAAAATAAATAAGTGAATAAATAAAATATTCAATTTTTTGTTATGATTATATTCCATTCAAAGAAAATCAATGTTTTCAACAAATCATTGCTTTTAAAAGTGAGGAAAATCCATTGGCACATACCAAAACCATGATTTTTTTACCTAACACAGATAACAATCATTGCATATTAAATTTACATGAAATAAGATCACAAGAAATATAAAATAAGTCTATTACTGCTTACAAATATTTTTAAACCCATTCAAATGCAAACCATTAAATATCTAGCAATAACATAAAATGGACTTCCCCCACATTCAAAATCAATGGCTCATATGTAAAATTGCTTCTAAATAATGAAGTTAAATTTCTGTATAACAAATGTTTTTTAATTTGTAAGGACCATCTAACATTAAAAGTTGTCTATTCCCTCTGGGTCAAGTTCAAATTTAGGTTCAATTTCAGGTATCAATCTGTAAACCCTTTGCAAAACCATGGCACAAGTTTGGGAGATACTGATCATTAGCTTTTAAAATCTTAATATAAACTGCCCCCACATGGCTACTGTTTGTCAAGAGGGAGAGATTAGGTCTAAATAAAAAAAAAAAAAACAATTTACAATTAATGAATGTTGAAAACTTTAGAAAGATGATAATTTTGAAAACTACAGGACTAATTTTTGAGGATAGTGAGATTTTATTTTATTTAATAGTCATCTAGTTGGAATTTGAAGACCTATTAATATAGTGTTTAAGCATTACTAAAAAACTTAATTGTTGTGGGAAGTTGATAAAGGCTCAAAGAAAGACATTGCAGCAAAGTTCAGAATTCCTGTGAGTTTATCAACTATGATAACAAATTGTGGATCAATTTTGAAATTAGCTGATGATGTGAGACATATAAGAAAACATGCAAGAACCTGTATTTACATAAGTGTAGATGAAGCTGTTTTAATAAACTTAATAAGTGTGAAGCATATTAAGAGAAGTGTGCTACAAAAAATTAAAAGTTTTTTTAATGAAAATATAGTTAAACTAATTTAAACTTATTTGAAATTTAAACTACATTTGTATTACATTATTATTGTATATTACATTTATATTAATTTAAAATTAATGTAATTTTTTCATTATTTTACATAAAGTAATACTTCATTTACCAAAAAGTGTAATTTCTGTATAACAATTTCCTTGTAACAAATTTTTTTCAGGAGATAGCGACTTCGTTATATAGAAGTTTGATTGTAAATTTAGTCTTGATCATTTACTAATATATATTTTTTATTTAAATAAAGTATCAAATAATTGTTGTTATTATTACTTTTTTAAAGATTCTGGCTATATGCTAAAGTTATGCTCCTTTTTGTGAGAAATGAAAGATAATGAAATTTTTATATTTGATACTATTTTTTTTTTTTAATTTTTAAATACTTCATAAAATTACTTTATGGATATACACACATGTGCACACTTTTTAGTTAGTTTGAGAAAACAGCTGTAAGAAAAGGATGAAATATTTAAAAACAAATCAATTCTTCATACAGTAGAGCGTCGTTTATCCGAATCAATTGGGGACTGGGGTTGTTCGGATAACTTATTTTTCGGATAACCAATTATGTACGAAAAAATATATTAATTTATCCCGTGTTGAAATTTTTCTCCGTTGCGTGTCGCTTCGCGTTGAATTTTCGTCGATGTTAAGCCTAACGAAGACTATTGTATCGTTAAAAATTATTTTTTTATTTTGTACAAACAAAATAAATATATTGAAA